AAAACTCTGTTGACAAAGCGAATAGTTTAAAGTGACTCCAGGTAACCACCTAAAGCCACGCGGGTACTGGTCTGCGATAAATGATTCTGGATATTTTAATGGCGCCTCTGTGAGTTTGGCAGGTGGCAGGTAACGTCTTCACACATGGCACCCATGACGACGTGACGAGCGAACCTAACCACAAGGCTACCCCATCGACCCGGTTCTGTTGAAAACAGAACTTCATTGATGTTCAAACATACACCACTCTTACCTTTCAGGAAGTCAAATGGCATATTGTGCGACAATCGCTTATATTACACCCTCGATGCAGGCAATACCCAATGCTGTCCGCCACTATTTTGTTTCTAGGTTTGTCAGCACAAGTCCGTATTCGTAGGTTTTACCAAATAACTGAAGTACTGTTCAAAGCGGCGTTAAAACCCAAGTCACTCAATGTCAAATGCATAACCCTTCATCGTGTATCGTCATTCTGTAATTTTCAGTTAATGACTAATTATGACTTGATTAGTGGTAGCACCGCACCGTCCTTTGATAAATAAAAAACAATGGTTCTAAGAGGCTGATAATTTATTGTAGGGTTGGGATGTATTTGTCTGATTTGATGGAAATTCAGCCTAATATATAACTTCATGTCCTCGCATGTCTTTCTTACAAAGTGATAATTTTACTATACTCAGGAACACATATTACAATGTATTTTCATTACAACTAAAGACATTATTTGCTCCTTATTGTAAAAAAGAAGTTGTTCATCCATATATCTTATTCTTACATTATAAGCAGGCAATAACCACTTGCATGTGAAATAGTTGGATATTAATGCAGATTGTCCCGGTTACCTACGTTTATACACTAAACTATGACGTCATCATTTTATGCGTATTTACGCAAATACCATGACAAACTTGCATATCGTCCACCACTGAAAGCAGTTTATCAAACACATCGTCGTAAAACTAGACACGGGGGAGAAGAAGGACATCTTTATTAACAGAATGGTAAAGTAGTTTTCGCAGGTCATGATAAATTAACCTGCAATAACTTGAATGGAAGCTATCGTGCAAAACTTGGTCACTGAAACGGACGGTGTCGTGTCAACTTGCCGTGCAATTGTTTCGAATTGATTTGTTGAGCCGTAAGAAGGTTAACTGTGCTGTGTTTATACTTTTTTGGCAATATATCGTCTAAACCAGGTGATGTATATATGCTGTATTCTCCCCCCATTTTATGTGAGAATCACAACAACATTGTGCCAAGGTAATTACATCTACATTTAGATGGTTGTGTGATATATGAGGTATTATACACCGATAATTTAAAATCCGGGCAATAGCGACAATGTTTTGAGGAAAAACATTTGTACGGGTATGTGTCTTTGTTTTCATGTAATATATAATTTTGTGGTGTTTACATTGTCTTTCACATCATAAATGTTTTTTTTTGTAAACATATTTATTGATATTAATTTGTAGAAAAAATCTGTCTGCATAAGTTTGTTTGACATCAATATTAAATTTTATGAGATATTGCATGATAATGATATTTTTTTAAAGCCATCTGAATCGGCGAATGTGAAGGTGTTGGCAAGGTGTCGACCATTGACACAAGAGGAGCAGAACAAAGGTGCCAAATCTATCGTGAAGGTGTCAGGAGACAAAGTAATAGTTGATGCTGCAGGAAAGGTGATGCTATTCCCTGTTTGAGATCTTTTAGGTTGTTTTTAATTTAAAGTCAGTAATTTTGAAAAATGCATATGTCTGTACACAATTAGAGTGTTTTTTAAGTGTGTCTTTCTTAAACGATATTGCTTGTGATCTTGGACGTATTAATAAAATTATGCAATAGACCTAAAATTAGGTAAAAAAATAAATTGTATTGAAATTTGTCACATTGTTTTGCATAATATTTTGAAATGTTGTTTAGAAGAAATCATTGTGAGTTAACCAGGTTGTTTTGAATTTAATTTGCAGGAATCTGCGTTTTCATTTGATGCAGCATATTCAAATGAAGCAAAGAATGTAGGTTGAAATTTTTACCTTCCATATAATTATGTTAAACACATAATTATACACAAACTTGAGAGTCATTACATTAAATTAATAAGTTGTAAACTCAATATGATGATGGAAAGATTGGTAATTGTATGAGAATAATGCATGGATATTAACTTGGTACAGTTGATGATCATGGTGACAGAATGTTTATTTTTAGTGTAAATTTAAATAATCCATCTAATGCAGATGATGAAGAAACTACTGACAGGGGTCAGGGCTTGTAAGAGGCGACAGAAGGGATCGGGTAGTCAGGCTCACTGACTTGGTTGATGCATGTCATCGTATTCCAATTGCATGGATCAATGCTCATGATTTCAATCACTGGTTTGTCTGGACCAGGCTCGATTATTTACAGACGGCCGTCATATAGCTGGAATATTGCTGAGAAGGGCATTAAACAACAAACAAATAATCAGGTGACCAACAAAAAGTGTTTTTCACTCGTTAACAAAATAAAACATATCATGAAAAAAACAGTTGGAGGTCACACAAAAAATCTAACATTTTCCTTCATCTTATATTTCATCTTGTGTATATTTTCTATTTTCTTTAGCATCAGCTGTACCAGGAGAAATGTGAAGCCCTGGTTCAGAGAGCACTCACAGGTTACAATGTCAGCTTTCTGGCTTTTGGAACAGTAAGTCCTATCCACACGAGACTCAGTTATGTAATATATCAGTAAGGAATAGAACTACATGTTGAGAATGTTACAATATAGAGGTAAATAAAGTTGTGGGGGAGAACTTTCCACCAGATGATTTTGGGAGTTTTTGATTTTGAATTTGTTTAAATGAATTTGAGTTTATTTTTTGTGTCATCAGTGCAAATATTTATGTGGATTTAAATTCATTGGTACATACATTTAGGTGCTATTAAATTCAGTTAATAATTGCTGTTTAAAATAATGACATTACAATTTAATTTAACAGAATTTCTGCAAGTTTATGTTTGTGTATTATATTCTGATATTTATAAAGTATTACATAATGTGATTTATTAGGGTTCATTATGAAAATTGTTGGATGAAATTGGTCCAAAAACAGAAACAGAATGTAAAGTTCTACCATTTGTCTTGTCAGAAACTAAACAAGTCGTCTATCTCAGATTATATAACAGTGCGTTTTGTTCATGTAGGCGGGGTCGGGGCGGAGTTTCTTGTTGAAAGGAAGCGACCAGGATCCAGGTATTGTACCACAGGTGAGTTAAGGATATGGATCACTGGAGTTGAAATTAATAAGTTTTGGCTACTTTGGAGGTATAAATTTCGAAACAATTTTGCGAGGGCGCGAGGCCTAGCCAAGGGGGATCAGTAGCAATATCTGTGCTTGTAGACCTCTGCGACTTGAAACCTTCTCCACAAATTAAAATAGTTGGATTTGGCCGAAATATGTTTGAATTGTTACCATGTTTGGTTTTGTCGCTGTGTGTACATCTGACTACACTTCTTAACGTTGTGACAGGACAGACCGACTGTCAACAACGTCTGACCGTGTCGTCTCATAGACTAGGGTTAGAGTAGCTTCCCTTTGACAAAGGGCAGTTACTCTAGCGGACAGACCGATGGATTGCCGCGAAAGGCAATTAAAAACAACTGTTGTTTTGCGTATATGTTGCTTCGCCACTGTATAAGAAAGAGATTTCAGTTGGAACTATATTGCCTACTGTCACTGTCCGACTGACACATCACTTACTCTGTGACGTAATAAATATTAATGCGCGCATTCCAGGAAAACTCGCAATGTTTCGGTAATGTTTGTGAGAGAGGGATAGCGATTTTAAAGCACAGAATTAAAGCATGACATTATATGATAAAGAGGTTATCACGCTTGTGTGTTTGGGGATGGTAAATATCCTGTATTAGGAATAAACACTATGTATTTAGCTCGCCAAGGCTCGCTAAATACAATGTTTATCCCTAATGCAGGATATTTACCATCCCCAAACACACTCGCGTGATAACCTCTTTATATATGATGCTACATGTGTAGGATAAAGCACACGTCTGATAGTATGCTTGGGGATGTGAGCCCCAAGGGGAGAGGAAATGCAACACAACCTCCTCTAATCATAGCGAGTTGCATCCCCTAGCATAACTGAGAAGGAGTACTGCTTAGAAACTGTGGGAAATTGGACAAATATGTCAAAATAAGTTGATACCATATTCGACGTATTAAGCGCCTGGGGCGCTCTCAAAATTGGAAATGTTGTGCCCTTATTAGAATATAATTTTATTATAATTTTTATTAGAGCGGGACGCTTATTACGTCGAATACGGTATGTCAAATATCGACCAAAAACAAATATTGGCTTGTTTGTCTCCCCCATACAGAAGTGGACTCAACCATTGCCTAGTCAATTTCACATGTGTAACTTATTTCTTATGACAACAATGGCAAGCAGCTATTTCTTTCATGAATATAGAAGTCAATTAGTAATTATTATTAAATCACTCAAGTGTAGGGCACAATTTAGTTTATGATCAGTTTACACGGACAAATAACAGGTATAAATCATTGCATATTCTTTATGATATATCCGATGCGTGACTTCCAAAACCTTTCCTTCCATGTTTGTGACAGATGATAGACACCCTCTTCAAACAGATGGCAGACAGCAGCAAGAAGGCCTACCTGGTGACAGTGTCCTACTTGGAGGTGAGTAAGGGTGGGGGTTAGAGAGTGAAGAGGGAGGGGCAGACAGCAGCAAGAAGACCTACCTGGCGACAGTGTCCTACTTGGAGGTGAGTAAGGGTGGGGGTTAGAGAGTGAAGAGGGAGGGGCAGACAGCAGCAAGAAGACCTACCTGGTGACAGTGTCCTACTTGGAGGTGAGTTAGGCGGGGGTTAGGGTTAAGGTGGGGGTTAGAGAGTGAAGAGTGAGGGGCAGACAGCAACAAGAAGGTCTACCTGGTGACAGTGTCCTACTTGGAGGTGAGTTAGGCGGGGGTTGGGGTTAGGGCGGGGGTTAGAGAGTGAGGAGGGAGGGGCAGACAGCAGCAAGAAGGCCTACCTGGTGACAGTGTCCTACTTGGAGGTGAGTTAGGGTAGGGTTAGGGAGGGGGTTAGAGGGTGAAGAGGGAGGGGCAGACAGCAGCAAGAAGGTCTACCTGGTGACAGTGTCCTACTTGGAGGTGAGTTAGGTGGGGGTCAGGGTTAGGGCGGGGGTTAGGGTAGGGGTTAGAGAGTGAGGAGGGAGGGGCAGACAGCAGCAAGAAGGCCTACCTGGTGACAGTGCCCTACTTGGAGGTGAGTTAGGGTAGGGTTAGGGCAGGGGTTAGAGAGTGAAGGGAAAGGTTGACGTTTAAGTCGATATTGCAGTGTTTTGTTGACCTTGCAATTTGTGTGTTGACCATGTGTTGTTTGCTTTAGCCGCCTTGTGTTCCATGTGTTGACCTTATTTGTGTTTCTGTGGTTTGACCTTGTAGTCAATGTTGACCTTGCTTCTGTGTGTCGACCTTGTTGTCTGTGTGTCGACCATGCTTCTATGAATTGACCTTGTAATGTGTGTGTTGACCTTGTTGTCGATGTTGACCTTGTTTTCGATGTTGACCTTGCTTCTGTGTTGACATTGCTTCTATTTGTTGACCTTGTAATCTGTTTGTTGACCTTGTGGTTTGTGTTGACCTTGAAGTCTGTGTGTATACCTTGCTTCTGTGTGTCGACCTTGTAGTATGTGTGTTGACCTTGTAATGTGTGTCAACTTGTAATGGTCTGTGTTTCTAGGTGTTGGATGAGAAGTTGACTGACCTGCTCAACCCCCACGACCTGCCGATGGAGGTCCGTCAACATGTACAGAAGGGGATGTAAGTTCTGTTTGCTCTTTGTATCTTATAAGTAGGGGTGTCACGATAAATCGAAATATCGATATATTGCTATTGGTAAGCACTTAAAGTCAATAAATCAATTGTTAAATCAGTTGCCGATCAATAGTATTGATTTCAGTTAGGAATATTGATATTTCAATTGAATTTACCATATCATGCGATCGAGTCACCAAAACACGCTTGTGAATGAAGCCGAATGTGGATTAGAGTTAACTGTCCTTGATGCTTAGCAACCTGTCTTTCTTAAAGTAAAAGGGTGGAGGTGACAGTCAAGTGGAGTTTGTGACAAACTTGGGGGGAAAATCGAGTGTTTGGAAGTCTTATGGTTATCACAGTCAAAGGAAACTTCAGTTCCAAGATTTAATTCAAATTTAAAATCCATCTAAAATGATACACTAAAAACTATCGATATTTATTTATAGTTAATGCAATAGTTTCTTTCAATATCAATAGTTATCGCAATAGTGATTTCCAGACCAATAGTCACCGCTTCTAATCAGTGTAGAATATCATGTCATGGACGATCATAAGAATGAGAGATTGTCTGAATATGCCACATAAACAAAAGAGATGACTGAAGATAGGGACTAGAGTCATATGTCCAGTTACAATAAAAACAAGTTTGGATAAATTTGCCAATTTCTTGTTTATAATTAAGTTTTAGAAAACTGGAAAATTTCAATTTAAAACAATTTTCTCCCTGCCTACCAACATTGATGGTCAAAAATTTACCAGTAAGTGAAAATGATTTGTATGGCCAGTTGATGAGAATTGTGTGTTTGTGTGTGCAAATTTCGTGAATCTATGATCTGTGAGACATGTTTTTTAGTGTGCAACTATCGTCAGCCTATGATGCTCTGTGAGATGTTTGTTTGTCTGTTCAACTATGGCCAGTCTATGTTGATCTGTGAGACATGTGTTTGTGCATGCAACTCTCATAAATCTATGTTGATCTGTGAGACATGTGTTTGTGTATGCAACTATCGTCAGTCTATGATGCTCTGTGAGATGTTTGTTTGTCTGTTCAACTATGGCCAGTCTATGTTGATCTGTGAGACGTGTGTTTGTGTGTGCAACTATCATAAATCTATGTTGATCTGTGAGACGTGTGTTTGTGCGTGCAACTCTCATAAATCTATGTTGATCTGTGAGACATGTGTTTGTGTGTGCAACTCTCATAAATCTATGTTGATCTGTGAGACGTGTGTTTGTGCGTGCAACTATCATAAATCTATGTTGATCTGTGAGACGTGTGTTTGTGCATGCAACTGTCATAAATCTATGTTGATCTGTGAGACGTGTGTTTGTGTGTGCAACTCTCATAAATCTATGTTGATCTGTGAGACGTGTGTTTGTGTGTGCAACTCTCATAAATCTATGTTGATCTGTGAGACGTGTGTTTGTGTGTGCAACTCTCATAAATCTATGTTGATCTGTGAGACGTGTGTTTGTGTGTGCAACTCTCATAAATCTATGTTGATCTGTGAGACGTGTGTTTGTGCATGCAACTCTCATAAATCTATGTTGATCTGTGAGACGTGTGTTTGTGTGTGCAACTCTCATAAATCTATGTTGATCTGTGAGACGTGTGTTTGTGCATGCAACTGTCATAAATCTATGTTGATCTGTGAGACGTGTGTTTGTGCATGCAACTGTCATAAATCTATGTTGATCTGTGAGACGTGTGTTTGTGCATGCAACTATCATAAATCTATGTTGATCTGTGAGACGTGTGTTTGTGTGTGCAACTGTCATAAATCTATGTTGATCTGTGAGACGTGTGTTTGTGCATGCAACTGTCATAAATCTATGTTGATCTGTGAGACGTGTGTTTGTGCGTGCAACTATCATAAATCTATGTTGATCTGTGAGACGTGTGTTTGTGTGTGCAACTGTCATAAATCTATGTTGATCTGTGAGACGTGTGTTTGTGCATGCAACTGTCATAAATCTATGTTGATCTGTGAGACGTGTGTTTGTGTGTGCAACTATCATAAATCTATGTTGATCTGTGAGACGTGTGTTTGTGCATGCAACTGTCATAAATCTATGTTGATCTGTGAGACGTGTGTTTGTGCATGCAACTGTCATAAATCTATGTTGATCTGTGAGACGTGTGTTTGTGCGTGCAACTATCATAAATCTATGTTGATCTGTGAGACGTGTGTTTGTGCATGCAACTGTCATAAATCTATGTTGATCTGTGAGACGTGTGTTTGTGCATGCAACTGTCATAAATCTATGTTGATCTGTGAGACGTGTGTTTGTGCATGCAACTGTCATAAATCTATGTTGATCTGTGAGACGTGTGTTTGTGCGTGCAACTCTCATAAATCTATGTTGATCTGTGAGACGTGTGTTTGTGTGTGCAACTATCATAAATCTATGTTGATCTGTGAGACGTGTGTTTGTGCGTGCAACTATCATAAATCTATGTTGATCTGTGAGACGTGTGTTTGTGCATGCAACTGTCATAAATCTATGTTGATCTGTGAGACGTGTGTTTGTGCATGCAACTGTCATAAATCTATGTTGATCTGTGAGACGTGTGTTTGTGCATGCAACTGTCATAAATCTATGTTGATCTGTGAGACGTGTGTTTGTGCGTGCAACTCTCATAAATCTATGTTGATCTGTGAGACGTGTGTTTGTGTGTGCAACTATCATAAATCTATGTTGATCTGTGAGACGTGTGTTTTTGTGTGCAACTCTCATAAATCTATGTTGATCTGTGAGACGTGTGTTTGTGCATGCAACTCTCATAAATCTATGTTGATCTGTGAGACATGTGTTTGTGCATGCAACTCTCATAAATCTATGTTGATCTGTGAGACGTGTGTTTGTGTGTGCAACTGTCATAAATCTATGTTGATCTGTGAGACGTGTGTTTGTGCATGCAACTGTCATAAATCTATGTTGATCTGTGAGACGTGTGTTTGTGCGTGCAACTATCATAAATCTATGTTGATCTGTGAGACGTGTGTTTGTGCGTGCAACTATCATAAATCTATGTTGATCTGTGAGACGTGTGTTTGTGCATGCAATTGTCATAAATCTATGTTGATCTGTGAGACGTGTGTTTGTGCATGCAACTGTCATAAATCTATGTTGATCTGTGAGACTAGTGTTTGTGTGTGCAACTATCGTCAGTCTATGTTGATCTGTGAGACGTGTGTTTGTGCATGCAACTCTCATAAATCTATGTTGATCTGTGAGACATGTGTTTGTGTGTGCAGCTATGTGGAGAAGTTGTCCGAGGTGGTGGTCCAGTCAGCCGAGGAGCTGTACCGCATGTATGACCAGGGCACGCGTGCCAGGAAGATGGGCGCCGCAGACATCAAGACTCACAGAACCAGGTGGGTGGAGTATTTGTCAAAGCAACATTAAACAAAGACCATTCAAACACAAAAATCATTCTAGTTATGATGGGCAAACCTATATGGGTCCTCACTAGGGTGTATAGATTTACAAAATATAGGCCACACAAGTGAAGAAGTTTACTAGTTTTGAATCTCTTTATATATGTGTAATGTTATTCTTTAGTTTGAAATCAAAGTGATATTTTTTGTGCTGTGTGTTTTTACCAACGTGCGTTTATCCAAATTTGAAGAATATTTCTGTAAGCATGTAAGCAAATGTTTTACAGTAATTAGCTACGAATTAATCTGTATTTGCTGATGTCAAATAGTTATTATGCTTGTGATTTCTTTTCAGAGCTCATTCCATTTTCTCTGTGGGCATTCATCAGAAGGAAAAACATTCGAGCAAACTTGGTGTGAAGTCTGTCATCAACGTGTTTGACTTGGCGGGTTAGTTTCACTTGTCACGTTGTGTACACACTGTTTGGATACCAGGGCCAGATAGCTGGATACCAGGGCCAGATAGCTGGATACCAGGGCCAGATAGCTGGATACCAGGGCCAGATAGCTGGATCCCAGTGCCAGATAGCTGGATACCAGGGCCAGATAGCTGGATACCAGGGCCAGATAGCTGGATACCAGGGCTGCTGGATACCAGGGCCAGATAGCTGGATACCAGGGCCAGATAGCTGGATACCAGGGCCAGATAGCTGGATACCAGGGCCAGATAGCTGGACACCAGGGCCAGATAGCTGGATACCAGGGCTGCTGGATACCAGGGCCAGATAGCTGGATGCCAGGGCCAGATAGCTGGATACCAGGGCCAGATAGCTGGATGCCAGGGCCAGATAGCTGGATACCAGGGCCAGATAGCTGGATACCAGGGCCAGATAGCTGGATACCAGGGCCAGATAGCTGGATACCAGGGCTGCTGGATACCAGGGCCAGATAGCTGGATACCAGGGCCAGATAGCTGGATGCCAGGGCCAGATAGCTGGATACCAGGGCCAGATAGCTGGATACCAGGGCCAGATAGCTGGATGCCAGGGCCAGATAGCTGGATACCAGGGCCAGATAGCTGGATACCAGGGCCAGATAGCTGGATACCAGGGCTGCTGGATACCAGGGCCAGATAGCTGGATACCAGGGCCAGATAGCTGGATACCAGGGCCAGATAGCTGGATACCAGGGCCAGATAGCTGGTTACCAGGGCCAGATAGCTGGATACCAGGGCCAGATAGCTGGATACCAGGGCCAGATAGCTGGATACCAGGGCCAGATAGCTGGATACCAGGGCTGCTGGATACCAGGGCCAGATAGCTGGATACCAGGGCCAGATAGCTGGATACCAGGGCCAGATAGCTGGATACCAGGGCCAGATAGCTGGATCCCACTACTGATTATTGTAAGGCCGACTAACTAAGGATGGACTGGTCACTCTGACCTGTCACCTGTATCCCGAAGGCAAGTGCTCATGCTGTCATCCTCTGGTTTGTGGTGACATCATTATTCACTGGCCACCACAATCTTGTAGACTGCAGCTACTCACGTGGTGGTAGTCCATGACATGTAGTGAGGTGAGATGGGGTTTAAAATTGTGTTTATGATTATTACACTTACCGTATTCGACGCAATAAGCGCCATGCTCTAATAGGCGCCCACAGCGTTATTTGCTAATATATTGGCTAGTGAACAATCCCAGTTAGCACCCTTTCCGATTGATCAATGAACACAAGACTTATTTATTCGTGTGTAATACGCACTCATTATATGCACCCTTAATTATGGGCAATTAAATTCTCGAAAATATATCTATCGTGTATAATACACACAATTCTTCTTTTATATCATTTCAGGCTGACCACAAAATTTACAATCTTTCAACCTCGTTTCTAATCTCACCAAAATTATATTCTAATAATAGCCCCCTATTTCTAATTTTGAGAGCGCCCTGGGTGCTTATTACGTCGAATGCGGTATATTGAAACATGCAAATGCTAGTCCGGACTGATGCTTGTTTTGTTGTGCTAACACACTGAGATACATGCAACATTTTGAGATGGATGAGTGAGTGAGTATGGTTTTACGCCGCTTTTAGCAATATTTCAGCAATATCATGGCGGGGGTCACCAGAAATGGACTTCACACATTGAACCCATGTTGGGAATCAAACCCGGGTCTTCGGCATGACAAGCAAACGCTTAAGCCACTAGCCTCCCCCCCCCTAAGATGGATGACCAACGCAGACACTTTATACTAACTCCGAGGCGACCAGTCCTTGTTTTATCGTCTTTGTGCTGAGCGCCAGGCTGGGTAACAACAAGAAGCATCTTTTAATGTCTTTTGGTATGAAGCCTTCCACTCTCCGTGACAGTGGTGGAGAGATTCCATGTGATGGTCCTGGGAGACTGCGTGTGGAGTTTCACTTACAGTTTTTAACAGAGTCTTTTTTCTCCATTTAAGGTACGGACACTAAGAACTCTGACTCAGGCTCTGGGTAAGTTACAGTTGTACATTACTGTATTACTGAATAATTGGTTAAATGCTATGAAAGATATGTCCTGTTTAAAAATGTGTTTTTCCCCTTTATTTCTTTTTGAGGGTCCTCAAGACATGTCTTACTAATCTAGTTGACTTTAAACAAAAAAAGGAAGTGGTGGCACATGGTGAAGTTAAAATCAGGTGAAGTTAAATCGTTTGTCGCAGAGAGTAGGTGGATGGTGACCGTATTCGGCAGCTTGACTCCTGAGAGTTTCTTGGGCTTTGGTCCTGCCCCACACTGAGGCACACTTGACCCGTGAAGATCCGGGGTAGAATAGGTCTTCAGCAACCCATGCTTGCCGTGAAAGGCGACTTGGCTTGTCGTAAGAGGCAACTAACGGGATCGGGTGGTCAGGCTCGCTGATTTGGTTGAAGCATATCATCGATCCCAATTGCGTGGATCAATGCTCATGATATCAATCACTGGATTGTCTGGTCCAGACTCAATTATTTACAGACTGTTGTCATATAGCTGGAATATTGCTGAGTGTGGCGTTAAACAACAAACCAACCAACTGAAGCAAACTTGGTGTCTCCTTCAGGTGGCTTTGTAAAAAAATGCTTTTGTTAACCCAGCAGTGAATGGGTGCCCCGTAGGATAAGATGCTAATGAGACTGATAATGTTCTTGCACCTCTTGTGCAGCTTGGGCTGTATACTCCCCAGGGAGGTGAGAATAAACAACGAGTGCACACTGATCCACTGATCGGAGTAATAATAATGTAGCGCCATGAGCATTAACTTGGGGTATGGAATTTGGTGAATTATAAATGGACTTATTATAATACAAACCATAAAGAAATGATGTGTTCTCTTGTACCTGGAGTTGTGGCAGTAATATTGTTCACTGATGTTGACAGCACCACGGGGCTGATGAACCTGCTGGAAGTCCTAGGGGATGGCAAGAAGAAAGGGGGTTATCTCCCCTACAGAGAGACCAAGATCACACAGCTGCTACAGGTGGGCAGAGTTGCATCCCTTGGTTGTCACAGGATCAGCTGATCATGGTTCACTATGATTATGATTGTTATCTGTCATCACTATACTCATGGTTGTAGGTTTCACCACAGATGTCTAAGACCTGTCACACTTTTGCCTTTCCTCCCACATACAGGTCACACGGAAGGGTAATCCTGAAATATTGTTAGTAAAATGAGAAATATTGTTTGTGTTTCAATGTTTTGCTAATACATGCAGAGAGGGGTTACCTGTCTATGATTCATTGACTTACCTGACAAAGATGTTATTTCCATGGGTGATGGGGGGCATGGGTGGCCAAGTTGTCTAAGGCGCCGCGATTCGCTGTGCAGAGTTGCGTCACTTGGGCACGCCAGAGCCTATGATTGTGGGTTCGAATCCCGGTCCGCCCCGATTATGTTTCTAGGTTTATCAGCACCATACCCGTGCTCGTGGGTTTCACCGAAGTGGTAAATGTCTGAGACCTGCATCACTCCGGATTTCCTCCCACATTAAGCTGACACTCCGTGATATAACTGGAATAATGTTAAAAGCGGCGTTAAACCCAACTCACTCACTCACTCACTCCATGGGTGATGCAGCATGTTATTTTAACACACATACACACACAACTGTGCATGCACGTATAAGTGCAATAATCTTAGACACGACGTTAAACCCCATTTCACCTCACCCACTCCAAAACTGTTTATTTTTGTGTGTGTTTGTTGCAGGATGCCCTCGGGGGCAACTCTCTCTCCCTCATGGTGGGGCTGGTAGGACCTGCAGGTGAGTTCATCCCATCCCACGGGGGCCCAGGTTAAGATAGGTCCCCAGCTCTGTTACTGAATTGGCTCAGGCTCTGTGCCTTCTCTGATGGATTTGCCATGGGGAATATGGATTAGAATTGTTCCCCAGCAACCTCTGCTTGTACTTAGTGAATTTATAAATCAGGTGGTCAGGCTCGGTGACCTCGCTGATTCTCCCCATGGGGAATCCAGATTAGAATTGTTCCCCAGCAACCTCTGCTTGTACTAAGTGAATTGATGAATCAGGTGGTCAGGCTCGTTGACTTGGTTGATAGTGTGTCAACGTACTCGGACAGTGTGGATTGTTGCTCATGATATCAATCACTGGTTCAGCAGGACTGATTATTTAAAGGCTGCCATGAAAAAGCTGGAATATTGGTGAGTGCAGCTTTAAACAAAAAACAATCTTGACTGATATCACCCCATCGTATCTGAAGTACCCATGCTGTCAATCACTGGTTTGTCTGGCCAAGATTTGACTAATTACTGGCAGCTATGATATATATAAATAGCTGAAAGTCTCTTGCTTCAGTGCAGTGTGTGAGTCTCAAAATATTGCTGGCCAGGTCGGCTAGCTAGCCTTAAAAGTTACTAGCCAGTTTCAACTTTCTCTACCTAAAACTTTGGGACAGTTTATTCTTCATCCTCAATGTTTGACATTGGTAGTCAAATCTGTTGAGTAACACAGCTTGTGATTGGTTAGGCTATGGGTTACAACCAATCAAAACACGTTTGTTATGCACAGTGTTATAGTCACAACAAGATTAAGGTGGATTACTACCTCGCAGCCTCGATTCATTATACAGATATTAATTTTGTTATTTATGTTTAATGTAAATCAGTGAATCAAGACCCGACCTGGTTCTAATGAGGGGCAAACCATTGAGAGATCAGATTACATTGCACAATTGACCTGTGAAGATCCGGGTTTGGATCCATGCTTGCTGTAAAAAGCGACTATGCTTGTCGTAAGAGGCGACTAACGGCGTTGGGTGGTCAGGCTCGCTGATTTGGTTTATGCATGTCATCGTATCCCAATTGCGATGCTCATGATGTCAGTCACTGGATTGTCTGGTCTAGTCCAGACTTGATTATTTACAGACCACCATCATATAGCTGGAATATTGCAGAGTGTGGCGTTAAACAACAACAACAAAAAATGTTTTTAAAAATTGTACAATTGGCAATATATGTTGAGCAACATGTGCCATTGCTCTGTGTCCCTCTGCTCTCTATATTTCTTCAATAACTGGCAATGGAAGTTTTGACGATGGTTCGAAACTAACATGGAGTCACTGGACCGGTGTTTCAGATTCCTGCTACCACGACACCCTTGCGACTCTGCAGCACGCCCAGTACGCTCGCTCCGCCAAGAACAAGGCCTATCAGAACATGGTACGTGACACAGAAACCTAAATGCTCTTCTATATTTTCATCTAAATCAAATATTGGGGACGTGGGATGCTAACTTTGTGAGAAGAAATATACGCCTCCTTCAAATGCATGCATGTGTCACTTTTTGGGGTGTACTGTCCACATGGCGGACCCAGCTGTGCAGAATATGCTGTGCAGAGTTATGTCCCTTAGTCAAGCAAGGATCTCATGTAGACTGGGCTCCTGTCTATGTAAACTCATTGGTCCTTGGTAACGAAGGAAAACAAATGGTGGACTGTGTGAAGTTTGTGAACTGAAAGTGCTCCAGACAAATTTAACATTAGCAGAGCAGATCACAACAAGTGCACAATGTCCACTTGTTTAGAGTTACAAAATTGTGGGTAAAAAATAACTTGGCATTGGTAAAAAGATGTTACACAGGGACACCCATAAGTGGATGTGGAACAGATTTGTACCGTTGTTTTGGGGCGATGCTTGTTGGCTAAAAGCCGTAAACTTGCATGTACTAACAGTTGAACCAGTTTCAAAGTAAGGATTTTGTTCAAATTCCGGATTTGCCCTGTTTATGATTCTTGATTTTTCATCCTCCATGCTCATGGGTTTCAGTGGCAGACATCTAAATCTGCATCACTGCTTGCCTCTAACAGTTGCGACACCATGACTGAAATACTGTTTAAAAAGAATTAATGCCAACTCATTTTCGAGTTGACCCGAGATTCAAGGTCCTGTTGTGGATATGTGTGACATGTATTGAGATGTTTTGTCACTGGTCCAACTGTTCACGATGGTCTCTGTTGTCTCAGGATGAGACGTACACCATCATCACCGATCTGAGATTCGAGATCTCAAAGCTGAAGGATAAGTTAGCAGCATCAGAACCGAACAAGGACGATGTGGACAAACTAGAGGTGAGTGTTGTCATATGATGACTGCAGACCCGGGTGCCATTGTACAGAGCAATCTTAGCCCTAAGGTGATCGTAACTCCCATACCTTAACATAGACATATGACTGTCGTAACGCTAAGGTTGTTTTGTACAATGACACTCTGGACCTGACCCTTTCCCAGTCGTTCATAACAGTTACCTGATGTTATAAACTTGCACTGGGTGCCGTTGTACAAAGCAACCTTAGCGTAAGTCCATGTTAAGGTATGGGAGTAACGATCATCTTAGCGCTAAAATGGCTTTGTGCAACAGCACCCTGGGCTCCACAAAGCGATCTTAGTACTAAGACTACTTAACTACCATACTTTAACATAGGTGTACAATAATTGTAGCTCTAAGATCGCTTTGTGGCCACAAAATGGAGCCATGGCCCTATTGTCCCAAACATTCATAATGTGTACCTGATTGCCCCAACCCTTTATTCACAAATATTCATATAATGATATGGTGTGAACTCATTCACGCTTCTCATTTACCTGACTGGTCTAGTGGTTGAGCGTCTGTCCTGAGAACGTAAGGTCAGTGGTTCCATCCCCGGCCATGTTGTTACCTGTCTGACGCTCGGCATTAAGGGGCTAAAACAAGGACTGGTCGGCTCGGAGTCAGTATACTGTGTCTGAGTGGGGTATTCATGTTAAACTGCAGCATGGTTTCTCTGTGGGCTAGCCCTATAAATCGGCATCAGTCAGGACTAGTACAAGCAGCCACACAAAGTGAATTTCTGTGACCCAGGATATTTCTTTTCAAAGATAGTGCATGATATACATGATTAAATTGTCGTTTTACCATGGAGTTGCCTCCCTTTTGGTGTGCCAGAAACCTATGATCATGTGTTTGAATCCTGATTATATTCTAGGTTTGTTAGCACCTTACCTATGTTTCTGGGTTCGTAAAATGTCCAACACCTGCATCAGTTACTACAATAGGGGGCACGGGTGGCCCAGTTGTCTAAGGCGCCGCAATTCGCTGTGCAGTGTTGCGTCCCTTGGGCACGCCAGAAAACTGTGATTGTGGTTTGAATCCCGGTTCGCCCCCATTATGTTTCTAGGTTTGTCAGCACCATACCCGTGCTCGTGGGTTTCACCGAAGTGGTAAATGTCTGAGACCTGCATCACTTTGGGCTTTCCTCCGACATTAAGCTGACGTGCCATGATATAACTGGAATACTGTTAAAAGCGGCGTTAAACCCAACTCACTCACTCACTCACTCCTCCTACATTATAAGCTGACATGGTGGGATATAACTGGAATACTGTTCAATACGGCAATAAACAACAAACAAACACTCACTCACTCACTCACTCACTCACTCACTCACTCACTCACTCACCCACCCACCCACCCACCCACCCACCCACTCACTCACTCACTCATGTCAGGGAATATAAAGGAATTGTGTGATATTCAGGGCCTGGTACACGATCTCCAGACAGCCAAGAAGCAGACATGGGAAGAGAAGGAAAGAGTCTCCAAGAAGGTCGAAGAGGAGAGGAAAACCAACCTGGCTAACAAGGTCAGCTTTGTTTGATCACAGCCAGATGAGGCGTCTGCTTGCGTCTAAACATGGTGTACTTTTATTGAATGCCCTGCTGTTCCCTATCATAAAATATTGACACATTGTTTTGTTGTACCAGTATGGGATGAAAATGTCTGTAATTCATGCATTATTTCTTGTTTACCCTCACATTTATAATCTTTACATCTAATGTTGCAAATACTCCGGGAACATTAAAATGAGATACAGTTCCTACTGCTCTATCATTGTGAGTTTTTTTGTCTAAATGTGTGGTAGTGAAGCTCTATCTATGAGTTATCTGTAAGTAGGGGAGAGTTATTATTTTATCCTGAAGTGGAAGGGGGATATAGGAACCGGTGCTAACCGTCAGTCCTTCTGTTCGTCCATCTGTCATTTTTCGTTTCCGTAGCAGAACTCCAAAACTGTGAGAGATATCATAACCAAACTTGGCACGTAGTTAGGTCTAGGTGTGAATTGGTGCCTTTTGATAGTTTTGGATTTTTGAAAACATTATTTTTCAAGTTTCCATAGCAACGACTTTTACTTAGACTGAAAATGGCGGTAGTGCTCATTTCTGAAGCAGATCTTGAAAAACGTACAATATTTCTTGCCTTGCATGCAACGGGACATGTCATATTGGCGTGGGATATGAGTATTTCATTCTTGTTACTTGTTGCAGGGAGTGCTGGAGTGGGTGATGCACTCCATGAAGAAGGGCAGCCAGGAGCTCCAAGACAGACTTGTCATCCTGCAGAAGGAGAAGGATCAGGTGAGGATATCATTGGAAACCGATTTGTTTAAAATTAAGATTTCTGAACAGTTCATGACAGTGATGTACAGTACCATCCCCGAGCACCATTCTGTTGTATTTATGCCCTGTCTGTTATGGTCACATGATAATCATCATTGCTCTAAACAACCTCATTCTCAAGAGTTGATAAACAAATGTTATTGAGGCCTCTCAATATCTTGTGTCGCACTCTGAGATCAAAGGCCATTGGTTAGGGGTGGCATTTTGTGAGTAGGCAGTGAGGTTTGGTCCTTTAGTGAGTAGGCAGTGTGATTTGGGCCTATGGTGAGTAGGCAGTGATATTTGGACCTTAATGAGTAGGCAGTGTGATTTGGGCCTATGGTGAGTAGGCAGTGATATTTGGGCCTTAATGAGTAGGCAGTGAGATTTGGGCCTATGGTGAGTGGGCAGTGAGATTTGGACCTTAATGAGTAGTCAGTGTGATTTGGGCCTATGGTGAGTAGGCAGTGTGATTTGGGTCTATGGTGAGTAGGCAGTGAGATTTGGGCCTTTAGTGAGAAGGCAGTGAAATTTGGGCCTTTGGTGAGTAGGCAGTGAGATTAGGGTCTATGGTGAGTAGGCAGTGAGATTTAGGTCTTTGGTGAGTAGGCAGTGAGATTTGGGACTTTTGTGAGTAGGCAGTGAGATTTGGGTCTGTGGTGAGTAGGCAGTGAGATTTGGGCCTTTGGTGAGTAGGCAGTGAGATTTGGGCCTTTGGTGTGTAGGCAGTGAGATTTGGGTCTTTGGTGAGTAGGCAGTGAGATTTGGGCCTTTGGTGAGTAGGCAGTGAGATTTGGGACTTTTGCAAGGAGGCAGTGAAATTTGGGCCTTTAGTGAGAAGGCAGTGAGATTTGGGCTTATGGTGAGTAGGCAGCGATATTTGGACCTTTTGTGAGTAGGCAGTGAGATTTGGGCCTATGGTGAGTAGGCAGTGATATATGGACCTTTTGTGAGAAGGCAGTGAGATTTGGGCCTTTAGTGAGTAGGCAGTGAGATTTGGGTGTTTTGTGAGTAGGCAGTGAGATTTGGGCCTTTGTGAGTAGGCAGTAAGATTTGGGCCTTTAGTGAGTAGGCAGTGATATTTGGACCTTTTGTGAGTAGGCAGTGAGATTTGGGCCTTTTGTGAAAGGGCAGTGAGATTTGGGCCTTTAGTGAGTAGGCAGTGAGATTTGGGTGTTTTGTGAGTAGGCAGTGAGATTTGGGCCTTTAGTGAGTGGGCAGTGATATTTGGGCCTTTAGTGAGTAGGCAGTGATATTTGGGCCTTTAGTGAGAAGGCAGTGAGATTTGGGCCTTTGTGAGTAGGCAGTAAGATTTGGGCCTTTAGTGAGTAGGCAGTGAGATTTGGGCCTTTAGTGAGAAGGCAGTGAGATGTGTTTTGTGAGTAGGCAGTGAGATTTGGGCCTTTGTGAGAAGGCAGTAAGATTTGGGCCTTTAGTGAGTAGGCAGTGAGATTTGGACCTTTTGTGAGTAGGCAGTGAGATTTGGGTGTTTTGTGAGTAGGCAGTAAGATTTGGGCATTTAGTGAGTAGGCAGTGATATTTGGGCCTTTGTAAGTAGGCAGTGAGATTTGGATGTTTTGTGAGTAGGCAGTGAGATTTGGGCCTTTGTAAGTAGGCAGTGAGATTTGGACCTTTTGTGAGTAGGCAGTGAGATTTGGGCCTTTGTAAGTAGGCAGTGAGATTTGGACCTTTTGTGAGTAGGCAGTGAGATTTGGGCCTTTGTAAGTAGGCAGTGAGATTTGGACCTTTAGTGAGAAGGCAGTGAGATTTGTGCCTCAGTAAGAGGTAGGTCTTTAGCCAGTAGCCAATAAGCGGGGGGATATAGAGATCATCCAGTCTGTCTGTCCGTCCGTCCGTCTGTCCGTAATCATTTCCTTTTCTTGGGCAAAACTCGAAAAACCATTCAGTGTATTTGATCGAAACTTGGCAAATCTATCAGTCACATACTCAAGTGGTGCCTTTTGATATTTTGTAATTTAAAAAAAAAATAATTTTCAAAATCTTTATCGAAAGAAGTTAGACAAGGACACGATTGCTAGTTTCAGAGATAATTTTGCGAGACTTGTTTTTGGTTTCTGGAGCGTAACTCGAAAACCGTTATATATTTTTCAACAACACTTGGCAGATACATCAAACAGATCCTGATGTGGTGCCTTTAGTTATTTGCAGATTTTTGGCATTTTTATTTTTCTTGATTTCCATGGAAACAATTTGGACTTAGTCTCAAAAGGCAGGTGTCGTTTTCGGAGCACAACTTTAAAACTGGGAAAGACTTTTCATACTAACCTGGTACATGTATTAACCAGGGGCTGAAGTGGTGTTTTTTGTTATATAGGAATTATAGAAAAAAAATAAAATTCCTCTTTCCATGGCAACAAGTTTGACTTGGACTCTGTTCATAGTGGTGTGTTTGTCCAGACCATATCTCTAAAACTGATAGGTATTATTTCATGACACTTTGCACACACAAAGACCAGTTTGCCTTTTGCTACTTTGGGTTGTTTAGGAAAAGAAATTCTGTTTCCATGGCAACAACTTTGATTTTGACTGTTCATATTGGTGTGTACCTGACATAGAAATACAAAGTTCCAAATCCCAATTCCATGGTATTGTTTTGATAGCTCAGTAACTATTCTTGTATATGGACAGACAGATTAGAGAGAAATACTGTCATCAAGTTGGACTTAATGTGACAGTCAGATGATTTGTGCTTTCGAATATGTGGGGGCCAAGGGATGTCATCTTCTGATGTCTCTTGTTTTCCATGGATATTGTGTTTTACCAAATTCAACAAAACAATTAGAAGATAGACATACTTTGTTTTCAAATTAGAGGACTGATATACAATGGATTCACTAAATTTGTCATGTTAAATCAGATGCGTAGTTTTTTCATCTTTTAAGATAAGCAGGGAATTTAAGTTTTACCCAAAGGAGTATTTCATCATCATTTATACATAACATTTAGACCAGTCTTACTGTTATGATGGTGGTTTTCAGTTGTTTCACATTGGTCAGTATAACCTTATCTTGGATTATCTAGACATGGTGTCGTCAATCAAGATAGATATGATTCTACAACTTACTTGTTACACAGTATGCATTGCTATATCTTACCCATGCCACTATATCTATTGCGATAGTCTACAATGGCCATCTTCCCGAGGCAAGGGAGCTAATTGATTTTAAAAGTCCAGTTTCCACCCTTGCCAAACTAGGCTGGAATTACTGGGCTCAATCGTAGCGCCACCAGTGGCTATTACCAGTTATGTCCCTTCTAAGCCTCTCCTATGGACCAATCAGATTCCACCTCTCGTATCACATGCGTTTGCTTCCAAAAAATGGTTGATCCCGCTCAGGACGATCTGATCGATAATCAAGATCTATATTGTGATAAAACGGGTCTTACATCGCAAAATGCATCAGATCACGTGAACACATAAAAGAATTTGGAAAATATCTGCTGACAACGAGTTGGCGGTGCACATGCTTTGCAAATCCTGCAATTGACCGAAATCTGCACGACAGTTAACGAACCGGATTTTGATTTCGGTGCGGGCTTTTGATTGGACTATGCATAGACACGTAGTCCAGCCAAAATGTAACTCCATAATACCAGCCTAGTTCGGCAAGGGTGGAAACTGGACTTTTATAGTCAGTTAACTCTCTTGCCTCGGGAAGATGACAATGGCATGTAACCATGGTAACAGTACCATTTGGACTCTAAAAGTAATGTATGAAAAGATCTACAGAATGATTGCTAGCAATCAATGAGTTGACACATGCTAAAGAAATATACAGTCAAACACAGTCGAAGTTCAAGGGACCTGCCTTAATACTTTGAGTCATCCGAGGTTCAACACAACCAAAAACCATGAATAAAGAAGGAATTTGCAGGGACCAAGCTTTTACTTCGAGACAACCATAAATTTGACACATCAAAGTTTGACACAACGGTGTTTGCCTGTTTGATGCCATTAGTGAGTCAGTGAGTTTTGTTTTACGTTGCTTTTCACAATATTCCAGCAATATCACGACGGGGGACACCAGAAATGGGCTTTACACACTGTACCCATGTCGGGAATCAAACCCGGGTCCTCGGCGTGATGAATACATGTTTTAACCACTAGGCTACCCCACCACCCCATAATGCCATTAATCTTGATGTGTTTGTTTGTTTGTTTGTTTGTTTAATGTTGCATTGTAGAAATATTCCAGCTATATGATGGCAGCTTGTAAATAACCACGTCTGGACCAGACACCCACTGTGATTGATACTACGAGCAACACAGTCAGTATGACAACATACAATCAACCAAGTGACCGAGCCTGACCACCCGGTCCATTTGGTCGCCTTGGTTGCTTGGGACTTGTGCGAACCCAGAACCCCCACAGGGTGATCTTGCTGTCAATCATTGAGTCATTCAAACTATAACAACTACTTATCTTTTAGAAAAGACATTTGAAAGAAAAGACATTTGGATCAATGTCAAAGTGAATTGGAAAAACTACTGCTGTCTCTTGATACTCCCATTGTCAGGGAAGTTTATAGTTTTTGGTGTCTTTTGTCCAGTTGACCTTGAAGCAGAAGGAGAAGAGGAAAGAACTGGATGACCTCAAGGAAGACCTGCAGAAGAAGATCACTGAGTTTTCTAAACTCACGGAGAAAGGTGAGCTATTTAACTACTGGGGTCAACCAGGGGTGTATATCAGGGTCGGGTCACTTGCACCACATTGTTGGATCTCTCGGGACAGGATCTGTTATTTCAGCGAACAATAAAAACATCTAGTTCTCTGAGAATTGCTCGTTTTTATCCCCATTGCATATATAAATGACGTCATTGCACTATGACGTCATACTATGTTAGAGTGCACTGTGACGTCAAAACAGCGCAACAGTATAACTGTACTCTTGAAAATCACATGCGTGAAACCAGTTGAGTAAATTATACAGCTCATCTTTGGACGTTTGTATTTTATGTATATATATATAGATTGATATGTGTGCATTTTTTACAAATATATGTTGGCATTTATATATATTAACATTTTACAAATCTATGTTGGCATTTATATATAACGTGGAAAAAATGCATATAGGTATGGGTGCCGTTGTTCAAAACAACCTTAGCTCTTCGACTGTCGTAAGTCTATGTTAAGGTATGGGAGTTACGATCACCTAAGTGCTAAGATCGCTTTGTACAACGGCACCATGATATGTCTTTAGAAAGTTTAAAGAAAGCTGTGGGGATATGGCATATCTTTTTTATCATTACAAATATGTCAGTATTTTAATCATTGGTCTTGATCATTTAGTCATTAATATGATGTTTATGTTGGACGTGTGAGAGAATGGTTGCACTGGTACACAACATGCCTGTGAAGGCTTCAGCCTTATTGTGTTACTGTGCAGGCAAGATGTCTGAATCCGACACAAAGAGTCGCGTCAACAACATCCAGACCTTGAAGGAGAAGATCAAGCTGGAGACGGACTCCTTCCGGAAGCTGAAGCAGGAGATGAAGGTCCTCCAGGACAAGCAGACGGCCGAGAGGGAGGTCAGTCCAACAGGGTCAGATGGTATCAGTTATTCCCACTGCGTCCAGGTGTATCCTTACAACTGGGCCAGGTGGCATCAGTTATTCCCATTGTGTCCAGGTGTATCAGTCCAACAGGGTCAGATGGTATCAGTTATTCCTATGGTGTCCAGGTGTATCAGTCACCCAACAGGGCCAGATGGTGTCAGTTATTCCCACTGCGTCCAGGTGTATCCTTACAACAGGGCCAGGTGGTATCAGTTATTCCCACTGTGTCCAGGTGTATCAATCAGTCCAACAGGGCCAGGTGGTTCAGTTATTCCCACTGTGTCGAGGTGTATCAGTCAGTCCAACAGGGCCAGGTGGTATCAGTTATTCCCATTGTGTCCAGGTGTATCAGTCCGTCTAGCAGGGCCAGGTGGTTCAGTTATTCCCATTGTGTCCAGGTGTATCAATCAGTCCAACAGGGCCAGGTGGTTCAGTTATTCCCACTGTGTCCAGGTGTATCCATCAGTCCAACAGGGCCAGGTGGTATCAGTTATTCCCACTGTGTCGAGGTGTATCAATCAGTCCAACAGGGCAAGGTAGTATCAGTTATTCCCACTGTGTCCAGGTGTATCCATCAGTCCAACAGGGCCAGGTGGTATCAGTTATTCCCACTGTGTCGAGGTGTATCAATCAGTCCAACAGGGCCAGGTGGTTCAGTTATTCCCACTGTGTCCAGGTGTATCAGTCAGTCAAACAGGGCCAGGTGGTATCAGTTATTCCCACTGTGTCGAGGTGTATCAATCAGTCCAACAGGGCCAGGTAGTATCAGTTATTCCCACTGTGTCCAGGTGTATCAATCAGTCCAACAGGGCCAGGTGGTATCAGTTATTCCTACTGTGTCCTGGTGTATCAATCAGTCCAACAGGGTCAGGTGGTATCAGTTATTCCCATTGTGTCCAGGTGTATCAATCAGTCCAACAGGGCCAGGTGGTATCAGTTATTCCTACTGTGTCCTGGTGTATCAATCAGTCCAACAGGGCCAGGTGGTATCAGTTATTCCCATTGTGCCCAGGTGTATCAATCAGTCCAACAGGGTCAGGTGGTATCAGTTTTTCCCATTGTGTCCAGGTGTATCAATCAGTCCAACAGGGCCAGGTGGTATCAGTTATTCCCACTGTGTCCAGGCGTATCAGTCAGTCCAACAGGGCCAGGTGGTATCAGTTATTCCCATTGTGTCGAGGTGTATCAGTCAGTCCAACAGGGCCAGGTGGTATCAGTTATTCCCATTGTGTACTGGTGTATCATTTAGTCAAACAGGGCCAGGTGGTATCAGTTATTCCCAATGTGTCCTGGTGTATCAGTCACCCAACAGGGCCAGGTGGTATCAGTTATTCCCAATGTGTCCTGGTGTATCAGTCACCCAACAGGGCCAGGTGGTATCAGTTATTCCCACTGTGTCGAGGTGTATCAATCAGTCCAACAGGGCCAGGTGGTATCAGTTATTCCCACTGTGTCCAGGTGTATCAATCAGTCCAACAGGGTCAGGTGGTATCAGTTATTCCCACTGTGTCCAGGTGTATCAATCAGTCCAACAGGGCCAGATGGTATCAGTTATTCCCATTGTGTACTGGTGTATCATTTAGTCCAACAGGGCCAGGTGGTATCAGTTATTCCCACTGTGTCGAGGTGTATCAATCAGTCCAACAGGGCCAGGTAGTATCAGTTATTCCCACTGTGTCCTGGTGTATCAGTCAGTCCAACAGGGTCCGATGGTTCAGTTATTCTTTTCAGTGTCCTCTGTGTTGGTATGGCTGGAATATTGCTAAAAGCGATGTAAGACCATACTCACTCACTCAAATCCAGGTGACAGAGTGGCCCTGTCAGTAATGTAGTCATGGGTAGCAGGATAGTAAATATTCATTATCCACACTTAAAAAGGTCACATGTCTATTCACAGGGCAGCCAGATGCAGGCCACAGCACTGAAGGGCAACTTGGAGCTGCGCAAGAAGATTGTGGTAAGAAAGAATTGATTGAGCTGTTTTAGTCACTGACATTGTGTACATCATTTAAACGTAGTGCCATGTACAAGTGTAGATTGAAAGTAGAAGTTGCTACAGGGTATCTGTCAGGTAGTGAACACTGTGTTGTTGATGATGCAGCAAGAAGAGTTGTCGAAGCTGGAGGTGGAGCACAAGGCTGTCCTTGAGGAGGAGCTGGAGAGGGTCAAGATGGAGGTGCAGCAGGACCACACTGACATACAGGTGAGAGGTGGATGACACAGAGTGGGTGTAGAATGTCTGATGACAATACAAAAACCTCTATGTTATTTGTAAGATCAGAAATACAATGATTTTGTCACCAAAGTTAATATGTGTCTTCCTTCCTGTCGAATGTGGCAGCTGCGAGTGGCGGAAGGCAAGCAGTACCAGCTGCAGGAAGCTGTGGCGCTGGACATGGAGCTGGCCCAGCTGAGACAGGAGAAGTCCTTGATGACCACCAGGGTGAGTACGGCACACACGGGTCAACATTGTCTGCTTACACAACCGGTGGGCATATAAGGAGGTTGTTCTACCTATAAACAGCAGACAGAGCCCTGGGCACATATAGGGCATCCTCATCTTTAGGTCTGCTCATAGGTCGTTATGTGGCTCCAAGGCTGCAGGAAATGGCAGAAAGAATCCCCAAATTGGAAGTACAAATACTGCAATTTATGTTAAATAGTAGGTGAGGTGAGGTGAAATTGGGTTTAACGTTGCGTCCAAGATTATTGCACTTATAAAGCGACGTGCACGTGTGTGTGTGTATGGCTGCTTGTACTAGTCCGGACTGATGCCGATTTATAGTGCTAGCACACTGAGATACCATGCCGCAGTTTAACATGAATACCTCACTCAGACACAGTATACTGACTCCGAGCCGACCAGTCCTTGTTTTAGCCCCTTAATGCCAAGCGCCAGACAGGGTAACAACAAGTACCATCTTTTAACGTCTTTTGGTATGACGCGACCAGGGATCGAACCCCGGACCTTCCGCTCTCCGGGCGGACGCTCTACCACTAGACCACGGAGGTGGTTGCTAAATAGTAGTGTAAGAACGTTATGGCTTTGTTGGAGCAACAAAAACACAACTGAAATTAGAAAAAAAAATAATATGACAATTTTCTGACTTTACAGATAGGTAAAATGTATAAACAAACAAGTTCGTAAGAAATGGCTCATATGTATATAAATCCTATTCTAACAAAAATAACCAATCAAATATCTGTCGGTTTCGTTTCGTGACTGTACTTCCTTGATGGTGTGACCTATGAGCAGTACTAATCTGGAAGTAGAATTGTTTTTCTTTCTTCGAGACCTACCAGTACATTGAATTTGAGGCCAAAAATACAATTAATAATAAAAAAGAATCATCGGGGATGTATAGGACAGGAAACCTGTGGCATTTAACCTGTTAAACAGTTTAATAACAACTTATAGGACATCGTTTGGCTAGACGGATTTCCTATTTTAACAAAGTTTCTTGGTCAAATATGCCAAGATACACAGGCACAGTAAACAAGTTTTTAGGATGATGTGATGTTAATTACAACGAACAGTGTTCAAAATAAGCACAATTCCTTTTTTAACTTTTGCAAGATTTAGGGAAGAAGAATTTATCATCCTTTATCTTGGAACTCAAAACATGATGTCATCATGTGTTTAATGCCATGTTTGGAAAGTGATTGATGAAATATTGATTTCACTAATTGGGTGGTGTGTGCATCGGTTACAGCTGGAGTCTCTCCAGAGGGAGAAGGAGTTTGTGCAGAAGGAGCTGGGCGAGGTTCACCGAGTGCACAAGGAGGAGATGGAGCTTCAGCAGCTGCAGCACTTCCAGGTAGTACCACTAGGTGGCAGCACTTCAATGTATCACCACTAGGTGGCAGCACTTCTGGGTGTCACCACCGGGTGGCAGCACTTCCAGGTGGTACCACTAGATAGTCTTAACGCTACAATTAGTGTAAGTCTATGTTAATGATTAACTTTGCCGTTAATTAACAGTTTGTTCAAGTGGACCCTGGTAATATGAGTTAAGACAAAAACGTATCTGACTATTATATGTATTGTTTCCCCAGTCTTTCCGCCAGTACCGGGAGATGTTTGAGGAGCAGAAGGCCGTGATTGATCAGCGCTACCGTGCTCTCCTGGAGGATGCCATCCAGGACGCGGTCTTCCTCTCCAGCCGCAACACCGAGCTCGTCACTGAGAACCAGCAGCTCCGACAGTGTAAGTCATACCTACCTGTACTACCGTAGTTACTGTAAAAACAACATCGAGCTCGTAACAGAGAACCAGCAGCTCCGACAGTGTAAGTCATATCTACCTGTACTACCGTAGTTACTGTAAAAACAACACCGAGCTCGTCACTGAGAACCAGCAGCTCCGACAGTGTAAGTCATACCTACCTGTACTACCGTAGTTACTGTAAAAACAACACCGAGCTCGTCACTGAGAACCAGCAGCTCCGACAGTGTAAGTCATACCTACCTGTACTACCGTAGTTACTGTAAAAACAACACCACGCTTGTCACAGAGAACCAGCAGCTCCGACAGTGTAAGTCATGCCTAACTGTACTACCGTAGTTACTGTAAAAACAACACCACGCTTGTCACAGAGAACCAGCAGCTCCGACAGTGTAAGTCATGCCTACCTGTACTACCGTAGTTACTGTAAAAACAACACCGAGCTCTTCACTGACAACCAGCAGCTCCGACAGTGTAAGTCATACCTACCTGTACTACCGTAGTTACTGTAAAAACAACACGGAGCTCGTCACTGAGAACCAGCAGCTCCGACAGTGTAAGTCATACCTACCTGTACTACCGTAGTTACTGTAAAAACAACACCGAGCTCGTCACTGAGAACCAGCAGCTCCGACAGTGTAAGTCATACCTACCTGTACTACCGTAGTTACTGTAAAAACAACACCACGCTTGTCACAGAGAACCAGCAGCTCCGACAGTGTAAGTCATACCTACCTGTACTACCGTAGTTACTGTAAAAACAACACCGAGCTTGTCACAGAGAACCAGCAGCTCCGACAGTGTAAGTCATGCCTACCTGTACTACCGTAGTTACTGTAAAAACAACACCACGCTTGTCACAGAGAACCAGCAGCTCCGACAGTGTAAGTCATACCTACCTGTACTACCGTAGTTACTGTAAAAACAACACCGAGCTTGTCACAGAGAACCAGCAGCTCCGACAGTGTAAGTCATGCCTACCTGTACTACCGTAGTTACTGTAAAAACAACACCGAGCTTGTCACAGAGAACCAGCAGCTCCGACAGTGTAAGTCATACCTACCTGTACTACCGTAGTTACTGTAAAAACAACACCACGCTTGTCACTGAGAACCAGCAGCTCCGACAGTGTAAGTCATACCTACCTGTACTACCGTAGTTACTGTAAAAACAACACCGAGCTCGTCACTGAGAACCAGCAGCTCCGACAGTGTAAGTCATACCTACCTGTACTACCGTAGTTACTGTAAAAACAACATCGAGCTTGTAACAGAGAACCAGCAGCTCCGACAGTGTAAGTCATACCTACCTGTACTACCGTAGTTACTGTAAAAACAACACCGAGCTTGTCACAGAGAACCAGCAGCTCCGACAGTGTAAGTCATACCTACCTGCATTACCGTAGTTACTGTAAAAACAACACCGAGCTTGTCACAGAGAACCAGCAGCTCCGACAGTGTAAGTCATACCTACCTGTACTACCGTAGTTACTGTAAAAACAACACCGAGCTTGTCACAGAGAACCAGCAGCTCCGACAGTGTAAGTCATACCTACCTGCATTACCGTAGTTACTGTAAAAACAACACCGAGCTTGTCACAGAGAACCAGCAGCTCCGACAGTGTAAGTCATACCTACCTGTACTACCGTAGTTACTGTAAAAACAACACCACGCTTGTCACAGAGAACCAGCAGCTCCGACAGTGTAAGTCATACCTACCTGTACTACCGTAGTTACTGTAAAAACAACACCACGCTTGTCACAGAGAACCAGCAGCTCCGACAGTGTAAGTCATATCTACCTGTACTACCGTAGTTACTGTAAAAACAACACCACGCTTGTCACAGAGAACCAGCAGCTCCGACAGTGTAAGTCATACCTACCTGTACTACCGTAGTTACTGTAAAAACAACACCACGCTTGTCACAGAGAACCAGCAGCTCCGACAGTGTAAGTCATACCTACCTGTACTACCGTAGTTACTGTAAAAACAACACCACGCTTGTCACAGAGAACCAGCAGCTCCGACAGTGTAAGTCATACCTACCTGTACTACCGTAGTTACTGTAAAAACAACACCACGCTTGTCACAGAGAACCAGCAGCTCCGACAGTGTAAGTCATATCTACCTGTACTACTGTAGTTACTGTAAAAACAACACCACGCTTGTCACAGAGAACCAGCAGCTCCGACAGTGTAAGTCATACCTACCTGTACTACCGTAGTTACTGTAAAAACAACACCACGCTTGTCACAGAGAACCAGCAGCTCCGACAGTGTAAGTCATACCTACCTGTACTACCGTAGTTGCTGTAAAAACAACACCGAGCTCGTCACACAGACCCAGCAACTCCGACAGTGTAAGTCATATCTACCTGTACTACCGTAGTTACTGTAAAAACAACATCGAGCTCGTAACAGAGAACCAGCAGCTCCGACAGTGTAAGTCATACCTACCTGTACTACCGTAGTTACTGTAAAAACAACATCGAGCTCGTAACAGAGAACCAGCAGCTCCGACAGTGTAAGTCATGCCTACCTGTACTACCGTAGTTACTGTAAAAACAACACCGAGCTCGTCACACAGACCCAGCAACTCCGACAGTGTAAGTCATACCTACCTGTACTACCGTAGTTACTGTAAAAACAACACCGAGCTCGTCACTGAGAACCAGCAGCTCCGACAGTGTAAGTCATCTCTACCTGTACTACCGTAGTTACTGTAAAAACAACACCGAGCTCGTCACTGAGAACCAGCAACTCCGACAGTGTAAGTCATACCTACCTGTACTACCGTAGTTACTGTAAAAACAACACCGAGCTCGTCACACAGACCCAGCAACTCCGACAGTGTAAGTCATCTCTACCTGTACTACCGTAGTTACTGTAAAAACAACACCACGCTTGTCACAGAGAACCAGCAGCTCCGACAGTGTAAGTCATACCTACCTGTACTACCGTAGTTACTGTAAAAACAACACCGAGCTCGTCACACAGACCCAGCAACTCCGACAGTGTAAGTCATACCTACCTGTACTACCGTAGTTACTGTAAAAACAACACCGAGCTCGTCACTGAGAACCAGCAGCTCCGACAGTGTAAGTCATCTCTACCTGTACTACTGTAGTTACTGTAAAAACAACACCGAGCTCGTCACACAGACCCAGCAACTCCGACAGTGTAAGTCATACCTACCTGTACTACCGTAGTTACTGTAAAAACAACACCGAGCTCGTCACACAGACCCAGCAAATTTGACAGTGTAAGTCATACCTACCTGTACTACCGTAGTTGCTGTTGTCAGAACACTGAGCTCATCACAGGGAACCAGCAGCTCTGACAGTGTAACTTATATGTAAGTTTACTACCGTAGTTACTGTTATAAAAAAGCATACTGACCTCCTGTCATCCATGTCACCGAGGGCTGATGAAGTGTTGTGTGTCTGATGTTACAGATATCGGAGGACTCAAGGATGCTGTGACCAAGTCAGGGGGCAGAATCCCCCCCTCGGATATCATGCTCTAGGTTAAGGATCTGGGATTGAGGAATTCCACTCAAGTATTAAGCAACCAAGATCAAAAATGACCTTTTTAAGCCAAGAATCTTTTTTAATATTTATTACATTTCTGCAACTCATGATAGTGGCCATCCTTAAATAATTGCATATAATTCACACGCCTGTGACTGGCTGGAAAAACAGACCACTCGTTCCTATAAAAATATTTTCAAACATTTAAGTATATTAAAATGCAGCACTTGTGTAGAATTTGATAATCTTTTAATTATTTGTTGATAAATGGGTCTAAAAATCAAAATATTTCACTGATTGCTGTAAGCTTTTGACCTATTAAGATATATACAATGCTTAAATGTAACTAGTGCATATTGTGAACAAGGCCCACAGCAAGACAGCCCGTATTGTCTGGTCGTACACATGGCTGAATGATGACAGAGGAATATAGTTTTACTGCTTATATAATTTTGTGACACTGACATGAATATGTCATGGGAGTGGGCTATTTTTGTTTTTATTTATTTTCATACCTTAGCTTTATATGAATCTTTGCACAATGAATATCAAAATGGTGTTGGGAGAAGATACCAATATATATGCATTTATTGTTTATCAAAGTTCTACTTTGCCAATTTTACAGTCTGTGATATTGAACAGAGGACATTATATATGATCATATGCACAGATTCAGATTTATCACATATGTTCATTCTGTTTTGACACAATTGCATGTCTAGTCTGCCTCTTCTTTGTTAAATATATCTATTATAAACAGAAATATTCCAACTTAAATTTGTATCCACCCCTGCGTATTTTGGGGGATACAGCTACATGTATGAGGACTTGTTCAATATTTTCTAACTTTGTATATATCTGAAGCCAGAGCGTGTTTGTGTTTTGAGAAGATACCTTCAGAAAACTTTAGTATCATGCATATGATCTTTTCAATTTTCACCCCAAATAAAAAATAAAATATTGTTTCAGAAAAATTATCAAACCCATTTAAGAGTTAGTTTCAAAATATTAAAGCATGCATTGTTTTGTTGTGAGCCTTCATAATTCTGAAATTAGGAAGTCAAATCGTAGCATTTTGGGTGAGGGAGTATAAACTGAAAATGTGTTGTGATTAATGTTGGATTGAGGAGACAATGTCATGGCTATACTATATCTCATGTTTGTTATCGCATGCATATGTAGAATTCAAAGAGTTTAAATTTCTACAATTGCAGTCAGTGTCATTGGCTGTCTGTGTGTATTAATGGGATGCGGACAGCATCATGTTCTGTCCCTGATCTCTGGTTCATGAAGAATGCTCATGGTGACACGTTTGGTGATTTCTAACAACCGCTGGCGGTTGTCAATTGCAATAATTTCATTTTGTGATAGTATTATAGTTTACCATATTCTGATGAAATTGAAATTCTAAACATATTGTTCTGAATATGTATGATTTTAATACTCAGATTTGAAATAATATATATTTTATTGTTAAAATTAGTTATGTACCATTGCAGCATTTGTGTGAACAATCAAATTTTGTAACACTTATATATTCGATAGGATGGGCAAACCAGGCGTCACTCATCAATGTAAATACATGAACAATTAGAGAATAACTATGATGAAATATCATCCTACAGGGAAACTTCACAGACTTCATGTTAATCTTCTGATGACCTAGCCTTGTTAATATTTGAAATTATGAATAATGGGGGAGTATAACATCATATTGATTCAACTGCCTAATCAGTTTTGAGACCTGCTCACATTACATCTGCAAATATCAGAAAAATATTTTCACTATTAAAAAGCAAGAATCTCCAGAGTCTGGCCTCATCCCACAAAGCAGATGCCATTTTCAGTCTTGGTCTACAGACATAACAAGCATCATTCCAGTGATATGCATTGTACAATAGGTGTGAAAGATAGACAAAGTGGTGTTTGAACAATTTAAAAAAAATACTGGTTGGGCAATGAATCGACAACCAAAATTGTACTGTGTATTCCGTCCAATTATTGTTATCAAATAAACTTTTTTTTATCTTTTGTTGAGTACTTTTTCTTAGTACAGCTGAATGGAACAGCTCTTGCATATAACGCAAACGGTGTCTTCGGGGAAACTTGCTGCAAAGGGAGACAACTCTATCCAGGCAGTAATAGCTTTACACCCCTTCCTCTGAGTAACTGATTCTACACACTTTACCCATATTGGATATCAAACCCAGGCCTTGTGCTTCAAGTCTTTATTGAAATACACCCAGTATACACATGATAATTTCATTTCAAAATCTTTTGTTTGAGACTACTACCCTGAACTTAGCTCAGTATTATTATGTTTATGATTATTATTAGACTGAACATAATAGACTCAGGCTTTGGACTTGTGGCTAAAGTCGCAGACTGTATATGACCAAGGTTGGTGACAAAGTCGAATTTGAATCCTGCAGAACTGCGAGGTTATTCCCACACTCTATCCTGCCCTGGTCGCTGATGTCACAGATGAAGATGACTGCCCCAACTGGAGCATGCCACAGTCTGGTGAATTGTCCTTCCAGAAATATAATAGCCACACTGTTACTGGCACATATTTATTTTCAGTAAAGTACAGAAAATAAAGGAGACATGGAAAGAAAACAATCTAGTATTTGATTAAAGGTCACTTTACACTTTTCATATTCCATAGACCGTCGTTCAAGAAGTGAATGTTGTCCACGCCGATACCCTTGTTCTTTTGTAATCTGAAACACAAGCGCTGCAGCAGTGAGGGAGTGAGTGAGGGAGTTGGGGTTAAGGCTGCTTTGACCATGTTATGGTGCTGACAAACCTAAAAACAATCCGGGTGAATCTGGGATTTGAACCAACAATCGTAAGTTCTGGCGTGTGATAGGATTCTGCAAGGTGAATTTCAGTACCTTTGACAACGGGGTCACCTGTGCCGCCTAAGAGACATATATAACATCACACATCTTTTGGAAACAACAGTCCATGTTATGGAATGACACAAGCAGACTATTTTCCTGGTCTTAGTGAGTTGAGTGACGTGCTGTGTATTTATATCACATGTCTGGGACTGGGAGAAAACCTGAAAGTGACTATAAAAGTCCAGTTTTCACCCTTGTCCATCTAGCCAGAATTTTGGAGTTATGTTTTGGCTGGACTAACGAGTCTATGCATAGTCAAATCAAAATCGCGGAACAAAATCATCATCCTGTTCGTAAACTGCCGTGCAGATTTAGTTCGATTGCAGGATTTACAAAGCATTTGGACTGTCAACTCGGCGTCTACAGATATTTTTCAAATCTTTTCATGTTTCAAATCAAGGCGTTCAAGTAATTTGATGCATTTTGCGAGGTAAGACTCGTTTTTCAACAATATAGATCTTAATTTTCGATCAAACTGTCTTGGCTGGACGCCACCATTTTGTTTGATACAAATGCACGTATGATTGGTCAATAGGACTTGTAATAGCCACTGGTGATGCTACACTTGAGGCACAGAATTCCAACCTAGTTCGGCAAGTTTGGAAACTGCACTTTTAAGACAGTTAACTCCCTTGCCTCGGGGAAATGTCCTGTTCTTGGTATTTACCACTTCAGTGAGGCCCAGGGGCATATAATTAAACAAAGCTAGAACTGTATTTAATTTGTTTATTGAACAATACTGATTGCTATTGTGTTGGGGTACAATGAATACTATCAACCAAGTCACCAAGCCTGGCCACCTGATCCATTAACTAATGACCAGCACAGGTTGCTGGGGACCTATTCTAACCTAAAATACCCACGGAGTGGACTAGCATAAGTTGCTGGGGACCTATTCTAATATTGAATCCCCATGGAGTGGACCAGCGAACATAAGTGACTTGCAGTGTAAAGATAGATTATTATTGTCATTACATAATATATCACATGACCATCCACTTACATTTCATCTGTGGCCATCTTTGTGAGACCAATGGCTAGTGCATGCTCCTTTCCCTCGGCCATGATCGCCTGTAGAAGCTAAGGATGATTGCTACACAGACACACAGTTGGAAATAATCAGTATTCAGCAATGCCAGTGGGCATGATGGAAAGTGCTGCTTGGTGAAATGTTTTACCCTACATGAGCATGATCAGTGCAGTAAAATACCGTAAATCTATGAATAGAGGCTCACCATTGCTCTTGACCTGACTTCTCTGTGAGGCCAGACTTTATTTGAGGCAAGTTTCAATAACCTTAAATTCGTCTACTACATCCTTAGAACAGCATTAAAGTGAGTGAGTGGGGTCAGTGAGTGAGCATGGTTTTACACCTGCTTTTAGCAATACAATATTGCAGGGGTGGTCGGGCTGCCTGATCATGAAAGCGTTCGCTTGTCCCGCTGAAAGCCTGGGTTCAATTCCCCACATGGTTACAATGTGTAAAGCCCATTTCTGGTGTCATCTGCTGTGATATTATCGACATATTGCTATAAGTGGTGTAAAACCATGCTCACTCACTCACCAGCAATATTGCAGCAATATCATGGCAGAGGGAAACCAGATATGGGCTTCAGACATTGTATCACTGGGAACTGAACCCAGGTCTTCGGTGCGACAAGCCAATGCTTATAGGATAGCCCACCGCTCCACCAAATAGAAGTTTGTATTTGCTATATGGTATATCTAAAACACTGTAATATTTTGGACCTGGGCCCATTTTCACAAAACGATCTTATGACTAGTCTGTTAGCTATAGTGTATGGGAGTAACGTGTACCCTGGCCTCTCAGTGTGGCTGCCTGTTTTCATTGCTTTGATAGACCTTGTCTGTATTAAAGAATTAACAGTAGATTTTAGCTGGGCACCTCTGTGTATACGACGCAGTTCCCAAAGGATACAACAACGGAATCTTTGTCTACTCTCGTCATCCTGGCGCCCGGCGACGTCAGCCCGGGGCACATGATGTTGGCACCGCTCAGTACAAAGCGGATTGCACCCTTGTCCACTTGCATGAGGGGAAGCAGGAAGGGGTCTGTTCATCGAGAAACAATATCAACTGTAATGACTAATAGTAATAATGTAGACTAACCCACGCGAAACGATGACCGTAATTTTTTTATGTTTTCATTGGACTATTACAAAATGAGCTTACTAGACCGGACAGAATGTTACTAGACTCAGGCTTCAGACGAGTGGCTAAAGTCACAGACTGAAACACTTGTACACACTGATCATAATAAAGACAAAACTGAGACATCTCCATGACCATTGTACCAGTAATCACGAAAAGAAATGTCCCTACATTGGCCATAGGCTACAGCTACATAACCCTAGCAACCAACACATTGTGGAGAGGTTAGGACATATTGATATATGGCACAGGTAGTAATGATAAAGCTACATCACTATGACAAGAAGGAACTTGACCTGGGCCAGTAGCGTTGTTTGTTTGTTTCTGTGTCAGCGGTCATAAGCTCACACTCTTTAAATAATCGAGTCTGCACCAGAGAATTAAGGGATTGACATCATGAGCATCGATCTTCGCAATTGGGATGCGATGACATGCCAAGTCAGTGAGTCTGACCACTCAATCCCATTAGTCAGCTTTTCTACACGCATGGGTTGCTGAAGATCAATTAAACCCGAATCTTCACAGGTCACAGACAAGATTGTACTTGAGCTTGGACCCATGGTAAATAGCATGAGCAAATATGATCCATCAAAACTCTGACACAACCAAGCCTATTATAGTCGCCTCTTATGACAAGCATCTGATTGCAAGGGACCACTTCAGCCCCAGGGAGGACAATTCCAGTGATTGACACATGGGCAGGGAATACTTACATTTGTGAATGAGCCTGAGTGTCGGACAGTACGGGCCATCTCTTTGTCGGAAGAACAGGAGGTCACCTGTCTGATTGGCTAGAATTTCTATATGTTCATGACTGTAAACAAACAAAATCTTATTAACCATGTCAACAGACTTATGTCTTTACGTTATGCTGACATTTTTATTACGAGTCATGATAACAATGTTTTGGAACTTATTACACAAGCAGGTAGAGACACCATGAGTATAATTCAACTAGTCCACTGCACAAAATGGACTGGTGGTTTGTGTAATATGAATAGATCTTGCAAGAAAACAACTAGTCCTTCGAGATGACAGACTTGTGCTCATGTGAGTGAGTGAGTGAGTGAGTGAAAGAGTATGGTTTTACGCCGCTTTTAGCAATATTCCAGCAATATCACGGCGGGGGACACCAGAAATGGGAATCGAACCCGGGTCTTCAGCGTGACGAGCGAACGCTTTAACCACTAGACCGCCCCTACGTCTACCACACATACTCCAATGAATTTTCAGCAACAGATCAGGGCCCCAATCCATAAATGATTGTAGCGCAACGACAGTTGTAAGTCTATGTTAAAGTATGGGAGTTTCGATAACCTTAGTGCTATGATAGCTTTGAGGAACTGACCCCAGATTCTTGTATGAAACTTTATATACCTTGTCGATGTAAAACATATTTACCGACCTGACAGCAATATTCCTGCTTTACAATGGCGGCCTGCAAATAACTGAGTCTGGGCCAAATTATTTTTGATATTATGAGCAACCATACACGCTGACGGTGTAGGATGATACGGCATCAACCAAATCACGGAGTCGGACCACTTCATCATGTTGATCTAGTCATCTCTTTTGACCAGGAAAGGTTGCTTAGTAACACTAACCTGTTATCCCCTCTTGAACTTAATTATATCTTCCGGTGTAAACAGGTAAAGGTAAAACAAGCTTGGGTACCTACGAGGGGTGTTCATTAAAGATTTCCCCTAAATCACTTAGGGTTATCATATTTGGTTGAAATTTCACATGTGTAATGATACATGTATCTATGGGTTATGTCTGAATTTGCAGCACTATTAATAAAACTGTTCGCCAGTTAGCACAAGATGTCAAGATCAGTGTAGGGTCTGTGGAAAAAATCATCCATGACAATTTGAACATGCATAAGGTGTCTGCACGATGGATTCCCAGGTTGCTCACACCTTTCCAAAAGCAGGAACGAGTCAATTACTCAAAGGATCTTTTGGACATGTGCCAAAAAAAACAGGCAAACTTTTTTGACAGACTTATCACACAGGATGAAACATGGGTCCATCACTATGATCCTGAGACTAAAGTTCAGTCGATGCAATGGAAGCATGTGGAGTCACCACCCCCAAAGAAGGCACGTGTCCAACCCTCTGCAGGCAAGGTCATGCTCACGGTGTTTTGGGACCAGCACGGAGTAGTGATGATGGATTTCTTGGCAAAGGGTACCACAATTACAGGAGCTTATTATGCTTCACTGCTGCGGAAATTGCGGGACGCTATCAAGCTTAAGAGGCATGGCATGCTGACCAAGGGTGTCCGTCTCCTGCAAGACAATGCTCCAGTGCAACTCTCATGTTGCCCAGACAGAAGCGCGGTCCTGTGGCTATGAAATCCTTCCACATCCTCCTTACTCTCCTGACCTTGCACCATCTGACTTCCACCTCTTTCCAACCATGAAGTCATTTTTGAAGGGAAAACGTTTCACAGATGATGAAACACTGATTTCTGAAGTCAAGTCCTGGTTTGAGACGCAAAATGAGGGCTTTTACAAGCGAGGTCTCCATAGTTGCATAAAACGATGGGAGAAGTGTGTAACTCTTGGTGGTTCCTATGTGGAGAAAGACTAAAACCTATGCCAAGTTTCATTCCACTAGGTCCATCGGAAGTGGGTCAGGGGAAATCTTTATGGAACACCCCTCGTACTTGTTACACTTAGAGGTTCATAACTATACATTTATTACCTACTACATTCCTTCAGTGTGAGAGCTGTTTTCTAAATGACTTATTGTTTACAATCTTTAACTGCTAAATAACAGCATGTAGTAAAATACTGAACCCAAAACATTTGAGCTCATGAATAATTTTGGGGATATTTTTTGTAGTCATGACCTAGCACACAACTTCTAAAATGTCTATAAATATTCACGATCATTAACGATCCCTGTTCTGTTCAATATGTATTAAAACAGATCTCACCATTTGACAACTTTAAGTGGCTCCTTCTTGGGTAAAATCTCATCAATGTAGGATCTGATGTGTGGGAACTGCTCTAGTACTGCGTTGCGGATGCCTTTCTGTACTGAGGATTTGGCATTGTTCACGTTCGATACTGCATCCTTACTATCAAACCTGGCACCGAAATGGAAGACATTTGAAACTATTAATGAGCATAATCACAAAGCTTTGAGATCAGATCATAGTGCTCAGTACTGCTACACAAAGCTTTGAGATCAGATCTTAGTGCTTGCTACTGCTACACAAAGCTTTGAGATCAGATCATAGTGCTCGCTACTGCTACACAAAGCTTTGAGATCAGATCATAGTGCTCGCTACTGCTACACAAAGCTTTGAGATCAGATCTCAGTGCTTGCTACTGCTACACAAAGCTTTGAGATCAGATCTCTCAGAGTTCTGAGAATTGTTAAGCGAAGCCTGCTAAAGTTGCATACAATCATTCACCTGAATGAAACTGTCCAGAATCAGTTCAAAGTTATGCGTGTTCAGAAGAATCAGGGTGTGAACTGCTATGAATTTGTGCCTAAAGAAGTGCTCCAGAAGGCCCAGAAAGCATGTTCTGTGAACATCAATACGGAAAACTGAACTTTGTGGTACTAAGCCATTGTACATTGATAGATTATGTGACTGTTTAACATTTAAATTTCATTGTATGTACAAGGTGATTATGAGTGAGTGTGAAATTTAATATGTATAATGAATATGACAGTATGAATGCAGATTTTATGTTTATTAGAAATGATTATTATTGATGTAAATAATAAAGTGAGAGTGCTATTTATACTAGGGCTGGGAGGAGTCCAAATCTGCTACCCAGGTACCCAACCCCCTATTACCTGACAGTGACACTAACTAGGTTGCCCCTGCAGATCACAAGAGTTGGATACAAAATGTCCGTTTCGGATTTGTTTTACTGGAGCCTTGGCAAAAACGTTTTAGACAGACTCATAAAATGATCTGATCATACATACACTGGAGTTGACTGAAGCTTTATCTTGACACAAAAATAGAAAAGTTTGAAAGAATGTGTGCATTATCAGAGAGAAACACAAATATCAGTAACTCAATTGAGATGTAACCATGGAGTTTTATTGCTATTGTCATTAAACTATATATCATGTGACTAACCACGGTTGTGGGTAGTCCTGTTAGTAACCGGGTCCTCCTCAGTGCCACCTGAGCCGTGTTACCCGTCCCAGCACTAATTTAAATATAATATTTTGTCATTTGTTCTTATAATAAATTCTCACTGAAAGAGTAGTAAGTTGGTTGGTTGGTTTGTTGTTTTACGCCACACTCAGCAATATTAGAGCTATATGTTGGCCGTCTGTAAATAATCGAGTCTGGACCAGACAATCCAGTGATTAATATCATGATCATCGATCCACGCAATTGGGATCAATGACATACATCAACCATGTCGAGTAGAAAGTAGTACTATAGTATAAAAAACAAAGGAGGAAGTCCTCCATTATGTGTTCATTTGAGACATTGTATTCAGAAAATTATAAAAGAAATCTGCCTTTTGTGAACAAAGAATGAGATATTATTCATTCCGAATACAATACTGTCAATAGGTAAGTTTTGACTTAATCTTTCATTACAAACCACAAATATGCAGATGTGATTGATTGTAATTTTTGGGTAAATATCGTATGTCGTATGGACGTTTTTTCACAAAATCACTTTCATTTTTTCGGATTTTGCATACACTACATTAGAAAATTAAGATTATGATATACCGCGTCATGTAGACATAACGATTATCTCGTCTCGTCAGATGGGTCACAGCGACCGGCAAGTGCTGTTTTCCCGGTGTCAAGCAAACATGCCCCAATCAACGTCTATTTCACTGCGATTGCTTCGCTTTTCGGCGATTTCGCAATACGAAACATGATCAGAACATCGTAACAGATAAAGAACAGTTTTGACACGATTCCGTGATAAGTCATATTGACTTACTTCTTAAACATGTTGTAATATTTTGGTTCTTCTGATCAAAGCATGCTCGGCAGAAGTTGTACTCCGTTTTGGGTTTTGTATTCCGTTAGCGTTATGTCTTTGCTCCAATGGTAATAAAACTTCATTGGTATTTACTGAAAGATCCGATATGTACCGTAAATAGAGCATACGCAATCCCGAATCGGCATGAACCCAAACTTGTAAAATTCCGATGTGATAAAATGCGACCATTTTGAAATACATTATTCTAAGGCTATCGTGGGTAGCTAATTTCAAATGATTACAAAGTTATTCTGTCAATATGTTTACTCTCTGTGCTATTTTCTGTGCATACTTTTGCAGCGACAGACCATTGCTCATAGTATCAACCATCGGTTTACCTGGACCATTTGAATAAAAGCTTTGAGGTAAATTTAAGTATGGCGGAATTTAGTCAGGTTTTTTTAAATTATTTGGACCGATATCTCGACTCACTTTGGATGCTCCGACTGTGTCATCAGTGTCTCCTTTGAAACGTATTTTGTGGCTCTATTTCCGAAAGTGTTTATGAATGAACGTATGTTGTGCCCTGTACACCAGTGCACGATCAGATCACTCAAAGTTGGTTGGTTTGTTGTTTACGTCGCACTCAGCAATATTCCAGCTATATGACGGCAGTCTGTAAATAATCGAGTCTGAACCAGACAATCCAGTGATTAATATCATGAGCATCGATCCACGCAATTGGGATCGATGACATCCATCGACCAAGTCAGCGAGCCTGACCACCCGATCCCGTTAGTCGCCTTTTACGACAAGCATAGTCGCCTTTTACGGCAAGCGTGGGTTGCTGAAGACCTATTCTACCCCGGAATCTTCACGGGTCTCAATCAAAGTGAACAGTCCCGATACAAATCATTCGAAAACTCCGTGGAGGTGTGCCTGACTTCTTATCTTGTTATCAAACATTAAACGGACAAAATAGTTTTTTTTAAAAACTGACTTCATTTCGCCAGGCTAAACATTTACATTGAATCAAATTCGCGAAGGTGGTCGGGTGCATCACGTTCATAGGGACCACGATCTGTCTGTCGTCGTACATAGCAAATGGATATAGCTAGATTATTAAATGTCTCTAGTAGCTCTATGCATAACTATTCTAGAATGCAAAACGAATTTGATGGTGTTACTATCTTGTTTGGTTAAGTGTTTGTAAATGTTTTCATGAGATTCCTTCAGTAGTTGTCTTGCAGTTTTGTAGTGGTTTGTTGTTGTTTATCTTTGGTTGTTCCTTTTTGTTTGTTTTTTATTTGATTGTTGCTGGTTTCATTGTTTTGTTCTTTGTTATATTTTGTCTTTATATTGTTTCATTGTTTGGGCATTTTTTGTTGTTGTTGAATGTTTGCTTTGTCGTTTTGCTGTTTGTTTGGTTGGTTGTATGGTTAGTTTGTTGATTGTTTGTTTTCCCGATTGCTTGTTTTGCCTGCCCCAAGAAACCCAAGAAAGAAAGAAAGAAAGAACCAAACAAACCCCCAAAACAAAGAAAAACAAAATTAAAACCCAACAAAGAGGCAACCGACCAAACTACAAATACAACAAGACAAATAACAAAACATCGAAACAACAGCCATTCAAACCTAAGAAAGAAGAAAAAAAAGCAAGAACAAACAAAATAACCAACAAAACAGCCAACAAACAAACAGCTAAACAAATATAGGAAGACCATGCATTACCTATGTGAAACACACACACACACACACACACACACACACACACACACACACACACACACACACACACAAAAAAAGTCCAAACAAACAAGAAAACCAACAAACAAATAACAACATAAGCAATCTAAAAAAACGAAGAACGCAACCAATAAAAGAACAAACCATAAATGAAATGATAAAAAACAACCAAGGAGGCAAACAGCCAGTGTCACAATCAGCCGACCCAACAAACCACAAAAAAAAACCCAAAAACAACAAAACGTGCAGGGAAACGAATAATTAATCAACCATCTGACCAACCCAAAATACCAAAACACGACCTGATATAGAAACAAACGAACACACTGAAACACAAAAAATCAACTAAGCTATGAACCTACCAACCAACCAAATAAACACACAAACAAAAAGAATAACAAACCAATCAAACAAGCAAAGAAAGAAAGAAACAACAAAAGAAACGACATAACAAACAACCAAACAAATCAAATTAGCGAAAAGAACAAGTAAACAAACAAACAATGAAACAAGAAAACAGCCACCCCCCTCCCCCTCCACCACACACACACACACACACACACACATACACCATCAGACTGCACTTGTGGGTATCACTTTGAAGACGCAATTTTTCTTTTACCTGTCAAAAATACCATAATATCAGAAACACTATGTATTCTACACACGTGGGTATAATTCAAAAACGATATTACATTGCAGTAGTTCAGTCAGCAGTTCTACAAACATGACTATTCTTCAATCAGTTCACGATTTCATTGTCAAAAGCAAAGCATTTGAGTAGCTTAATTTTATGCATGTAGTAATGGAAAACTGCTATATCTTATTTCACAGACACCACTTGTATTGGATTCATATATTTCATTTGTGCATTTAGTATGTTCATGTTTAGCACTATCTTACATATAATCTGATATATAACCAGCTGTTGTAAAGTTATTACCTGGAGAGGTATTTACATAAGCAAGTTTTGCTTGTTTACCGATCCAGATTTAAAAAAAAATAAATATATGTTTAAACCACATACACCATAAATTAGGAGAAAGAAACAATAAAAGAAAGCAACCTTCGTATCATACAAAAACAGGAAACTAACCATACAAGCAATCAAACAGTGAAACGAACGAAGCAATAAAAAAACCCGAAACAGGTAAAAAACAGCAAAGAAACAGAAAATTACTAATCAACCAAACAAGAAATAGTGAGTGAGTGAGTGAGTTGGGTTTAACACCGCTTTTAACAGTATTCCAGTCATATCACGGCGTGTCAGCTTAATGTGGGAGGAAAGCCCGAAGTGATGTAGGTCTCAGACGTTTATCACTTCGGTGAAACCCACGAGCACGGGTATGGTGCTGACAAACCTAGAAACATAATCGGGGCGAACCGGGATTCGAACCCACAATCATAGGTTTCTGACGTGCCTAAGGGACGCAACTCTGCAAAGCGAAGTAAAGAGATCGGGATGGTGGGAGACGTAGAGAGAAAGGGCAGAGGGAGAAGTAGGGACGATGGAGGGGAAGTAGGAAGAGAAGATGGAGAAGTATGGAGGATGTTGGAGACATAGGGAGTGTAGAGGGGGTAGTACGGAGAATGGACGGAGAAGTAGTGAGTGTGGAGGGGCCAAACGTTTAGGGATAAAGAAACAGAGAGGGAAGTAAGGTAGATGGAGGGGACAGTAAGGGCGATGTATTAGCATTGGTGGGGTGGGGGTGGTTGGACAGGGGTAGGTGCAGGTGAGGAAATATGGGGCATGGAGACGGAGAGCAGGGTGTGTGTATTGTGGTGGGACGGAGGTGGGAACAGGAAGGAGAGTCTTGGCTATGGGAGACGGGATAGTGAGTGAGTGAGTGAGTGAGTTGGGTTTAACGCCTCTTTTAACAGTATTCCAGTTATATCACGGCGTGTCAGTTTAATGTGGGAGGAAAGTCCGAAGTGATGCAGGTCTCAGACGTTTACCACTTCGGTGAAACCCACGAGCACGGGTATGGTGCTGACAAACCTAGAAACATAATCGGGGCGAACCCACAATCATAGGTTTCTGGCGTTCAAGGGACGCAACTCTGCACATCTAATCGCGGCGCCTTAGACGACTGGGCCACCCGTGCCCCCGAGACGGGAAAGAGGATGTTGGGACGAAGGTAGGGCACGTTGGGAAATGGGGGATGTGGGAGGAAAAGAGGAGGGAAGTATTGAGGTGGGATGGCGGTAGGGGCAAGCATAGTCGCCTCTTACGATAGGCATGGGTTGCTGAAGAACCGTGACTACAGATATACAGTGAGGTATCGAGTGGTGGTAATGGATGAATAAGAAAAAGGAAGGGAGGCCTATTAATGCCTACAGTGACGAATGCCTACAGTGACTAATGCCTACAAAAGTTGTTGTTTTAGTGTACACACTGTTTCACGCACCCCTGCACTCAAGTGGTCAACTCTGCTTAGTGTTCACTAATGCCTTCACTGTAAATACAGACTAATTAATGCCTTAGAAATGTTACTGGGATTGTGAAAATATTTGACCTTTGTATAAATTTATTTTCTTAGATGGTATTGTACTTTGATAACCGGAGCAGGAAATACGGATTTTCTGTAAAATGAGAGTAGAAGAATAATGTAATTGATGATAAACTTTGAGAAGGAAATTTTCCAGTATAAAATATAGTTATCGAAGATTGGCATCTATTTCTGAGAGATGGACAGCTACTCGAACGTATGTAAACAGAGCAGCCAAGGATAAAAATGAAATCATATCAATATAAGAAAATAGAAATCATATCAATACAAAAACAGAAATTATGTGAACACCGAACTCACAATAGATATGTGTACCCTTCTCACACAGGAGTCCCAAAGAGGGACAGGTCAGCCGAAATTGCCTAGGCAGAAGGCGACCTCTTAAACACTTAATGCAACAACAACAACATTGGCATGTTAGAGATCTAGACATGGCAGACCCGAAGAAGGTCCAGTATCATTTGTCACAAAAAAGGTGGTCAGCAAGTCCTACTAGATGGCTACAGGACTTAACAACCGTAGGCTAACGTGTGTGCACTGGAAATGTGTACAACGTGGGTGCTTAGGGAAATGCACAACAGTTGGCCAGTTTGTGAGGAATCAGTCACCTCATAATCATCAACCAGACGACCTTGTAGCATTGCAGACTGTAAGCACACTTCGACAGAGAGTTCAAGCAGAGACAACTCCGTTCCAGAAGATTACGACGAGGAAGTTGCCCGACTCGACGTTCAGGATGCTGCTGTCTTCCCGGCTTACCACAGCAAGAAGAGTGGCCTCTACAAACAGAGAAGAAAGACGATTCCCCCACCTCCACAGTCCATGAGTGAAGTAGATCTTCCTGATATCTACAAGCAGACAACCGATGGAGAGCCCTTTCTCTGTATAGATGACGGAAATG